GCCCGGTGGCGCACTGCTACAGTGCGCCGCTTGGGAGCGCGGCGGCGCTCCCGCCAAGGGTTCGGATCCCACATACAGACCGGCCGCTCACTGGCTGAGCGTGGTGCAGGAACAACACCGAGGTTTGCGATCCCGTTGCCGGTCCCGGTCTGGTACGGGCGTGACACTGAGGGTTGCGATCCGTTGCTGGTCACGAAAAAAGACAAAAAAAGGAAAAAAAAAAAATTTAGGGTAGAAATCTTTTGGCAACATACCAATGCCACTCAATGCATGCAACTGTATGTTATCAATCCAGGGGGGGGAGAGGAAATGAAATGCTACACTTAATAAGGGCCACATGCCCAGCAGGGCCATTAGCCAATGAAAAGCCTACAGCTTCTTTAAGAAACTGAAGCCCAGTAGCAGTGCAGGATGGGGGGGGGGGGGGGTCATTCCAGGAGCTGCTGGTCCCCTTCCACTGTTTTTAGCTAAAGATATTTGGATCCGTCCAGCAGGAACCTGCCTCGGGTAAGTATCTCCCCACTACAGAGATGAAATCTAATTCACAGCATGGTTCTGATGTGAAGGCTTCCTCCCCATCCCAGGAATGTCTTCAGAAGGGCAGATGGGGTCAATACACTGACTAGCTCCCAGAAGCCTCCTGGTGGCTGGCATGTATAGACTTTTCTGGAGAGCACCCCCTAGAGGATGAATATCCACATAACAGCTGGAAATACAAAAGGGGCTTCTGGCTTCACAGCTGGACGCCTCATCCTGTTGGGGCAGTGTTAGCATTTTAATGAAGTCCATGGACTCTGGTCAGTGTACCACCCCATGCCTTTGAGAGAGGAAAGCTCCCAGAGGAAAGTCCACATAATGAGAAATAAGACAGGTCCCTCCCATCCAGCCTCTGACTTACTTGAAGACACACATCGGTGACAATGTAAGCCAGGACCTGTCTCTCTCTTCTGATCAAGTTTATTGTAAATTTGGGAGTGGAGAGAGTCACTCTGTAACCCACTGAGACAAAGACTTTGGGTGATGACAGAGCAGCTGCCCTTGATGCCAGAAACACAATGTGGCCCAGGGACAGGCAGGAGCGCTCTGTGTCTAACCCCACAGAGGTGCATTATAGTGAATAACATTAGATCGTCTACAAGGTGTTTTCTCATCATGGTCTTGCTGGGCTCCATTTTCTCTGTCTTCCTCGAATACTGTCTTTCTGGGCTTGGTGACTCCAACACCAGTCACTTGCCCCAATCCACGTCCCCAAGCCTCTTCCAATACGTGTCCACCCTGACATTCTTTACTCGCAGCCAGTCCCGCTCCAGCAGGCCCTGAGATCCTTCATTAAGAAGGGCTTTTTGTCCCAATAATAAGTATCTTTCCTATAGTGTCGAATCGGCTTCTGGGCAAGGAATACAAACTGTTTCTGAGAAAGTAAAAGGTTGACTTAAAGCTCATTTTCTTTTTGTGAGAAAAAGTGATATGTATCATTATGACCCTTAAAAATCTCCCATGTGTGCTCCTCTGTGCCCGCTCCTCTTCCTTTGGCTGGAATTTAA